TCCTGCTGCGTGTCCCCACTCCGAAGTGTTTGGTCTGCTCATGCCAACAGGTAACTGATTTTGGTGCCAGTCCCCGTTACAGATTTGTCACTGCGTGCTTTTTCCACTACCTATATGAACGTTAAAACTCGAGCTGCCAGTCAGTCTGCACCTTCCCACATGCACCTTCTGCAAGAGAAGACTCAAACTGAACAGCATTCTGACCCTCTCCAGGCACCTACGTCAGAAATGGAGCGTCTGGCATTAGCCACTGACAGCTCTGAACTTTTCCAACAAACGTAATGTTGTCATGCACAAAGGCAGTCAGATGAAAAACATGTTATTGTCTTTAAGTAAGGGCTAAAGTTCCCTGAGCCCCTATTAGGTGAATAAAAGTAGGCAGTGTTCTAAAGAACTGGGCAGAGTTCCTATCACTATCCTATTCGTCACCAAGTTATGAAAGCAAAGGACGCTCAAACCCCCAAAGAAAGCCTTTTTATTTCAGAAGACAGGGAGATCCGTTGTCCTGAGATGTTAAACGAAAAGAAGCATTATTTGCTAAAGCTCTTTTAAAACCGAGATTAATGCCTGCATGAAGAGGTGACAACCAAACACCTGTCTGGTCAGGCCTCTTTAAAACAGTTTTCAAACAGTAGAAGAAAAAAAAAGCCTCTGTCCGATAGCGAAGCAGAAACTCACCTACAGTGCTAACAACTCCAGGAGAGGTCTGCTGTCAGATTTCCTGTTGACTTCAGCGTTTTGTTAAACTACTTGGAAAATATATTTTAATTCCCTTGGCAAATTATCTGAGCTCCTGTCTCCTTGCAGCATTCGCTTCGTGGCTGTCTAGCTGCGGCCTGCCTCTGCCCTACCCGTGACACAACCACGAAGACCAAATGTCCAACGAGGCACTAAAGCTTCACACGGTGGAGGGCTGACACTACCATAGCTCCCATCCCCGAGCAAGGGCATGATACACTTGAAAAAGCCTTTAGTAAAGAAGTAGTAGGAGAGATGACCATGTACTGGTTTTAAGCTGTCTGGCAAGTAATGCCACATAGAAGTTCCAGCCTTTAATGACTGATGGAGCCAACCCTGCTGCCCCACTACCAGCTCCGTACTAACATCTTGGTGGCAAACAGAAGGAAGGCTTTCCCAGGGAAGACCTGCTAATGACTGCATGGCTTCTGAGTTAGCAGCGCAAATAAATGCACGATTTCGTTAGAGCCTTAAAACTTACTGCAGGTAAAATCCACTGAAATAATTGAGGCTCTGTGCACAGCGCAGGCACTGTTACGCCATGCTAGAAGAAAGGGCAGAGATCAGATGAGCAACTTCGCCTTGGCAAGTTTTTGTCTATGCACTAAACCACGTATTTCTAACAAACAGGGGTGTAAATTCCTTGCACATCACAGAAGCACAATGGAGAAATTTCACGTGTAGAAATCTGCTTTCTTTACTGCTACAGGACTAGTAAATATTTGTGTTGCTGAACCAAAGTATGAGCATCTTGTAACCACGGGTGAACGTGATCTGGCTTATTGCTGAATAAGTCCATTACATCAAGGTCTCTTCTAGGAACAGCCCAATGAAAACAGGTTTTCGTATAAATGATCCAACAGAAAGATAAAAGTGCTGTGCTCAAGCAAGGCCAAAAAGCAGTGAAAGACAGAGCGTGCAATCACAACGGCTTGGTACGTGATTTGATACAAGATTCCCAGTTCTTGAGCAGATTTCTTTTTTCTTTTCTAACATGAAACCCCATTATGTATAGAAACATTAAAGTATTCTTAAAATGTGTGTGTCCTACCTGAGACCAGCTGCACATCAGAAAGTTTCAGCTTCGAAGAAGGTCTTGTTGGCTGATATGCTTTGCCTTCCTGAGAACGTCCTTTAACAAACAATAAACAGCTCTGTGTTTATTCACATAAAGATATGGTTACGTATAGCTATAAGCTATTAAAGCGTGCTACAGCATTGTTTTATCCTAAAAATCATTCCTATTTATGATGAGGGAACTCATGAGATGTTCTAGATGATAGAAAATTGTGACAACCACAACTGAACTTCAACTAAAGTTAAAATACATCTTGCAGCTGCTATAAAAGAGAAGGAAAACAAAATCATTAGCTTGCTTTTTTAATTTATTATATCATTTTTGGCTATCTAAACTACAGAGCCCTGACAGGAGTGACTTGTCACCCGGTGAAGTACGCATAGTTAGCACAGCCTGACTCCATCAGTGATCCACACTGTGCAGGAACTCAAGGTTTAAAGCGATGCTTTTCCCCCAACCCTTCCTTCAAGACACATTCCTTTGCGCCGCGCACAATCGGGCATAGGGCAAACCAGCGCAGTGTTATCATAGAAGATGCTCCTGCTCTGCTATAAAGACCAGCTGTCTTCAAACAAGAATGTTATTAACATGGAACAAGTCCATATTCTTCAAATGGAAATATTAAAAAAAAAATATATATATACAAACCCAAAAAAGTTTAAAGCCATGCTTAAAAAAATTAAACCATGACCCAGCCGGCCACTGTGCATCGACACAGCCAGCTGTCCGCGGTTTAACTGCTCTGTTCTCTTTCCACATTGATACATGTGAGCAGCTCTGGCAACAGAATTATTTGGTGGCTCAAGACCTGTGCTGGAATAACGCTGTGGTGACTCAAACAGCTCTAGCAGCAGCCATTTTAAAAATCACAGAGGGCGGGGTTTTTTTGTCAACCTGAAATGGAAATACAGTTACCCAGAACACCTGAGATTCAGACTAGCTTTTACAAATAGTCAAAATTCCAACAATTAGGTAAGAAGTGTACAGAAGACTCCAAAATACAGGGACCACTCTGTTATAAAAACAAAAGCATAGCTATTTAAAAGATAGCCAAGACAAAATTACCGTAGATCTGCCTAAGGATGGACTGCTTGCTGGTTTTTATGGCTGAGCTGGTTTTGTTTATAGATTTCGGATTTTTACATGAAGGAGCTGATTTCAGAGGGCTATGGTTCAGCTGTTTCTTCCAAGCAACCTGAATGAAGAAGGCAGCTGTCTCTTGTCTCCATTTGTCTTCATCTTCTTTGCACTGCCGCTTAGCACTAAGAAGCTGGAACAACTCCTGTCTTAGCTGGTAACTAGAGAGCAGAAAAGAGAAGAGCACTTGTTTTAGGTGACCTGTTTTAACTTCAGTGCTTTCCACGCATCAGTTCACATGGTGGATTACATGAGTAGCTGGGAAAACAGAACTCCCACTGATGTGTGCTAAGTCATTTGGATGAGAAATGTTTGCTCAGAAGAAAAAGTAGGAGCTGGGTTCAATTCTGGATGCATCCATTACTTCAACACAGCTAATAGAAATCTGGCATTACAGGTATCGGAAGTCACAGTGCTGCAACACCAGCTTATCAACTGCTTTATGATAGACAGAAACTATGGAGAAGACATATTTATGATATAACAGTACAATCGATGCTGTTTTCTCATTTTCACTATATTCACAGCTTAATAACAGCAGATTTTCTCGTGTGCCTTACTCGCTGTATTCCCGGTCAACCAGTGCACGAGACGAGCCAAATCCACCTCTTACGGGTCCAACTGCACGTTTCCTCTACAGAAAATCGCGCTGCTTTCCACCCCTCCTCTGAAGATGTCCCCTCACCTTGTTTTCAGCAACCTGTTCTTGCTTTTTTTCCCCCTTCCCTTCAAAGGCTCCCTGTCTCCCCAACCTTGCCTCAGCAGCTTTGATCTTGCACGCAGACACAGCCCTGTTCCAAGCGGCAACGGTAGCTGATCTTCCCACTTTGGTGGCTAATGGCACCGGCAACAAGGAGCTGTTTGGGGTGGTGGGTTTTTTTTTCTTGAATCACATGTAAGTATTCAATCAGATATTGGCATTTCACGCTCACAATTAACTGGCCTAGCAATTAACTCTGAATCTTCCCGTATAAACCTGTCACAAATGAACACTGAGTGAGACTTGTAAAATATTAGTTATAAGTGTTTGGTAACGGGCCAAAACACAGTGATCACCATCCCCTCCGGCATTCAAAAAGGCTGCTATGGATGCCCCGGTAAAGGGAATGAGGAAAGAGGGAGAAAGAGGTGGTGTTGTTCTGTTCCTCCACCTGCAACAAGTTCTAAATTAAAACACAACCAGATACCAACTGTTTAAATAAATGTTATACACCAACACACTATAGAATTCAAAGAAAACAGCCATATGTAGACCATGAGTACACGAGAGCACAACAGAATGCCAAAGGGGGAACGATATGCTCAGTTACAGCCCCAATAATTTTAAACTTTCAATTAAGTTCAGTAAATTACCTGTGTGAAATTAGCTGGGTAAGAAAAACATATTTAATCTTCATTTAGTGGAGCTTCAGAATTCAGGCATGTGCTGGTACACAGCTCATTAAAGTACGTAACACATGTGGGGAGCAACTGCAGCTCACCCATAAATGCCCGCAGTGCCTACGAGTTGCAGAGCGTGGCGTGAATTCAGAGCAGGAGCGTTGTTAAAAGACAGAACAGCAACAACCAAATGATCCAGTTTTGTTAAATAACGTGTCACTTTTAGAACATTTCAACGGGGTAAGAGAGGAAGAGAAAGTGAAGCGGGGCACAACTGCAGTGACTTGCTAACATGACTTGAGCTATGGATGGATTACGTGAACACTGCTGCAGGAAAAACAATCGGGGAACTGTTTCATACTTGAGCAGAAAAGAGTACCAAGCTATTCCCTTGGAATTTGGTAATTACTGCAGAAGCCCTTGCTGATACATGAAGTGACCCATTCACAGGCACTCCACCTTTGCACCCAGCTGTGGTTTTGTGTTTGTAGAGAACTTCTGGTAGTTTTTAGCAACAAGAAAACAACTGTGAGGCTCTGACACTGAGAGATGTAGGCAGTCATCTTTAGACCGTGTGTGTATTTTTTTAATTCAGCTCTCCCGTAACAGATTGTTCTGATCCTAGCGAGAAAAAAGAAGAACAGGACTGAGTTTGATGCTCTATGAACGTGATGCGGTGCCTTAACAAAATATCCAGTGCTCAGTCAACAAAGCTGCTGCACATAAAAGAAAACGTGGAATGTACGTGCGGAATGACAGAGCTGGCAAATGGTATTCAGATCTTTGCTACAGAAGCTCTAAAACTTCTGCTGGTCAACGTATGCATATGGCAGTAATATACAAAAACCATGGCTTGACTCCAGTAGGGGAGCAGCAGTGACAGCGACCAACTTATTTCCAGCTTCTGTTGACGCACTGCGGACCCTGGAGAATGGCAGAGGCCTCCGTGCCCCCCACGAGAGAGCGAGCCAGACACAGGATCTGTGTGGCTCAATGAGCAGGATAAGCAATTAACCTTTGGCAAGCCACACACCTTAAAATACACCTTTGAGGACTACATCCAGCAAGTTTGAGGACTGTGGGAATTGAAACATTTTCCTGAGAAAGGCAAGTTTAATCTACTTAAGTAGACCAGTACCGTTGTGTTGTAGCTCGCAATAAACTTTCAGCGAGGAAATCACGACTATAAAATTTGCAGAGTGAGAAAAACGTACTCAGTCCTAATGCAGAGAAATGCCAGAACTCAAGCATGTGCTTCTACATGGTTCCAGTGTAGAATTGTACGTTAACGATGTACAATTCTATTGCTGTCTACAAGTACACGCTATTTACCAGTGCAAGCCTGGACCCAAAAGACACACACAGGACTGAGTGGGACCCACAGCCACACAGTAGGTACCTGCTTAAGTACTATAATCCTACGTACAGCGGATGGGAAATGAAGTATTTCAGAGAGCGCGTCAGGACAACTGACATTCTAGCAGCCAGCGCATACAGCTGCCTAGCGTGAGCCAGCTGGAAACGCTAACCGGGACCTCTTGACAGGCAGGTGCGACCATCGGACTCGGGATCCACATCCTCAAATACTCACGCTACCTCTTTTTTTTTTTTTTGAGATATATATGAACTCTGCTTCAAAGGAAGAGGCAGAAGTCTCCTCTTTTTCAAAATAAACATTATTGCTGTGGCAAGAGCATGGAAATTGGGAGGAGGAAACCCGGTTCGCTTTCACAGCTCTCACCACCCATCTGGGTTTCAGAACGCTCAGACAATAAAGCTCACGTTTGAGCTTGAAGCATAAGCAGAAAAGGTGGCAGAACTGGTGGGCCTGGGAGAGTGAATGCAGGAGGGAAGCACGGCTCTTCATAACAGTGTAGTGCTCTCGCCTCAGCATCGCTGCCCAATGACCTGTTCTGTGTTCTGCATCGAAACAGTCACTGAAAGAAACGCACTATGATATGGCTGCAAACTTTATGAACTCCATCAAAGCTCTACAACAGTAAACTGTCCATAGACATAACGAAATGACAGTGGGGGAACTGCCACACGAATCTCTCCTGCAGTCTTGCAGAATTTATGATCCTCACTGGTGTCCTATAAAATAGTTTTGCAAAAAGAACAAATATATTTATTTTTCTCTATGAATTCTTTAAATAACAAATGTCATTTAAACAATCTTTAATCCCCATGATTTCCAAGTGGTATAAGTGAGTGCATGCACTTCTTGCCAAGATAACCCACTGTCGCTGTTTCAGCAGGTGGGTAGTTTAGAAAGACCTATCCAAAATCTTTAGCCAAAACTTGAAACAGAATGCGAAGATTTCCACGCAGGTAAGCCACCTCGACACAAGGCTTGAGATCCCAGTTCTCGTGAGGAAATTTGCGCCACGCATCTTTATGCTTTGACTGAAAGCTCTGGCATGTGCCATAAAACCCTCTGTAAGGGTTTTAATTTGATGATAGGTGAAAACAGTAGAGGCTTCAGAGGCAATAGTATCCCTACTCTGGACTTACTTTAGCTTTTGGTATCTCAAAAGCTCTGAACACAAGAGAGGAATTCGGAATTCAAGTTAGAAAAGCTGGCCAAGGAGGTCATTGCCAGCGCTGAGCTGCTTACGTAGCATTTGGAAGCAGCAGAAAGAGCTGATGGCAGAAGCGGTGGGTCACCAGAACAAGTGGCTGTGTTGCGCTGCAGTTCAGCGACGGGTACGAGGAGTATGGCATGGAATCACAGAACCACAGACTGGTTTGGGTTGGAAGAGACCTTAAAGATCATCTAGTCCCAACCTCCCTGCCATGGGCAGGGACACCTTCCACTAGACCAGGTTGCTCAAAATCCCATCCAACCTGACCTTGTGCACTTCCAGGGAGAGGTCATCCACAACTTCTCTGCGGCGCCTCGGGGCAGCCTGTGCCAGGGCCTCACCGCCCTCACAGGGAAGGATTTCTTCCTAATATCTCATCTAAATCTATCCCCTAGTCCTGTCACTGTAGGCCTTGGTAAAAAGTCTTCTTTTGTTGGTGTTTTTTTTTTTTTTTTTTAATAAACCCCCTTTCAGCACTGAAGGCCACTGTAAGGTCTCCCCGGAGCCTTCTCTTCTCCAGGCTGAACAACCCCAACTCTCTCAGCCTGTCCTCACAGGGGAGCTGCTACACCCCCCTGAGCATCTTCATGGCCTCCTCTGGACCCGCTCTAACAGGTCCATGTCTGTCTGCCTTGTACTGGAGACCCCACACCTGGGTGCATAAATAGCAAACAAGAGAGCTAAATGATAAAAGTACAGAAATCGGTGATACTGTACAAAAAAAGTCAGAATTTTCACCAAAAAAGAGGCTCCAAAATGAACTAAAGAGACCATGGTCCAAAATTGTAACTTTTCACGGGATAGAAATGTAACTTTTATAAGCTAGTGTGAATTTTATACTCCAACAGCAGTGAGGAGAGAACCTGGAATATTACTGGACTGCAAATCCAGCCTCATACTTGGAAATATTTAGTCTCATCAGTAAAAGAGCCGGAGCAAACAGAAGCATTTGCTGAGCCAACACAAATATTCAAATGGCCACATTTCAGTTTAGGAACAAAGGGACTGCTGGCTCGGGCCATGGGGTCTAGTCTGGTGTCCCTTCCCTAGTAATGAGCAGCATCAGCTCTTTTGGAGGAAGACAAGACTTCTTTGGACTTCACAAGTGTAAAAAGCAACGGGAGAAACATCAGTGCTCAGAACTCCACAAACAAGAGGCTAGTAACACGAGGCTCTTCGCTCCCTGGTGTTTTGTACAGGGAACACAGGTAACGCTCCGCCTTGTAAAATAAGAAATGGGATTGTTTTAAGCCTGGAAACACCACTGAAAGAAGGCAGCACAACTTCATGCCTCTTTTTTTAGCTTTTCGGCGCTACGTGGTACTTGGCGAAAAGCTCTTTTCCTGACAAAAGAGCAGGCTTGTACAGGAAGTACCCAGAACTCTTCTCTCTCAACTTTTGGTCCTGGCCTTGCTTGATGTGGCCCAGAGGACGTTACTGGAGCAGCTGAACAGCCCTGGCTGGCTGCCTCCTGCAGCTGGATGGGGTGGCAAGGAGAGCAGACCCTGATGCTCCAGCTGCCGAGCGCTCCCCTCTGCTCCAGGCTGTGGCAGAGCGGGTCAGATGCAGACGTTGCCCCGCATGGGGAAGACAGCTAGGACTTGGCTCCTGGCAGAGCACGGGGTAGAATCAGCCCCTCTCAATTTCTCAGCGAGGGAACCAAAGCTTCCAGCATGACCCAGAAGGAGGGAGGTCCACCAGTGACTCAGCATTTATTTGGCAGGCAGCTGGGCATCGAGACCCAATTCTGTTGTTGCAGGGAAGTTGCAGCTTTCCCAGGGACTAGTATAAAGGACGTTACTACCCTCTACATGCTCCCGGACATCCACCAGCAGCTCCCTTTGATACGGTTTGGTTGGGGGAACAATTTGTGCATCACTACTGATCTGTACCATAGGGCGTGAGAGTGGAGCTCTCAAAGGAACTTTCTCTTTATTTTTTCTTTAATTGAATACTAAGAAATAGTAAACCATATATGAAACTGTTAAACTAGTGAGACCTGGAAAGATCAATGTGTTGGGTTGGCATGGCAAGGTTCTGGTAGCGGGTGGGCTACAGGGGTGGCTTCTGTGAGAAGCTGCTAGAAGCTTCCCTGACATCTGATACAGCCAGTGCCAGCCGGCTCCAAGACGGACCCGCCGCTGGCCAAGGCCGAGCCCATCAGCGACGGTGGTAGCGTCATCGCTTACCTTTTATGTACTCAGACCTTTCATGAACTTACTGATGTACTTCTAGGGGACTGGAACCCACTTCCACTGGTTTGGTGAAAGATTATTAAATTCCTGATTTAGCACTGGTAACGTTGTAAGCAAAACACCAAATAAAGTGCATGGCCAACAAGCCTCATTTGATTTGCACCTACTTGTATCTCACTTCTCTAGCTACTGAAACAGTATTCTTACCTTCTCCATGTCCTCTGTATGACTGTAGCAGCATAGTTCTTCTTCCGAAACAGCTCTTTTCTTTTTCTTTCTTTTTCTATTATCTGCATTCGAATCTCTAAAGGGATTAGTTCAATATTTGTACTTTGCCATGCGACAGAACATAATTGATAATCTGCATTCCTGGATCCAATTACGCCTGTTTTTTCCAAGTTCAAACTGTCATCAGGAGGCGAACACACTGCTGGGTTTCTTGGCACAGTTCCGGTAGGTTCTGCCTCAGCAGACAATAAAGGGGAGGCCTTTTTTGCTAATTCTTTATTTCCCACTTTGTTAGTTTGCTCTACAGCGTGCACACTGTCATTTCTGGTGTTTACAAATACCATTTTGGCACTTGCTGGTCTACTGGAGCCAGCTGGTGAACATCGCTCATCATTTACCTCTTTATTTCTGGATTTCTGCTGATGCCTTTTGCTTTTGGAAGAAGCTTCACGCTGCTTTGAGTTTCTCGCAATTCCACCAGAAGAACTGACGTTGCAGAACACAGCTGTTCCTTCACAATGGTCCCTGTTGCCAGATGAAGGCTGGCTTTGATCTCTTAATTTTTCCCCAACGCTTGCAGTCCTACAAGCAGAAGTAGTATGCCTTCTGCTCCTCCGAGCACAAGTACCCGCCGCCTCGACAGCGTGCCCCTTGTGCTTCTCTCCATCCAGTTCTGCAGCAGCCACAACCTGATGGTTGACTTCAGCTTTTGTTCCCTCTTTTGCTTTGCCACAATGGAAATGGACACCACTTGACTTGCTTTTGGTGTGTTTCCTCAAGGAATCTTTAGACAAAGAAACAGAAAGCAACATTCAGTCTCTTATCCAGCAGTTTATGGCTCTAATTTTTTTGCTCAGTTACCTTTGAGGCACACTAGGATCTACTTAAATGAAAAAAACATCTAAGCAGTTTTTAAGAGGACACGATTGCCTGTACCAGTACAATCCCAAACTTCTTCATTTGGTTATCACTCTACAAGTACTTTTCTTTCTCACCTTACATTTGAGCTAGATGCCTAAAAAGAAGTCACAGGGAGAAATTACTTCTTCACCTACCTGGAAATATTGGTCACCTTCAAAGAAACAAGCTCACCAGATGGTGCAGGAGTGCAGCCCCACGAACACACCTGCTCATGCCAGTGAAGACACCGTTAACAGACCTTCCCTGTTTCAAGAGTATTTGTTAAATTCCTGCTCCAGCCACCCCGTGTCCCGGCACATGACGACAGACAGGGTAACCCACTGACCCAGGAAACCCACAGCACTTGGCTCCTCAGTACTTTCCTTGACATCCTAATGAAACGATAAAGTCCTTCCTATTTTTCCCTTGCTGCAAGATTTCTTTTCCAAGCCTAGGATAGGAAAATAAATCCTGTGTGATAACTGCTTCTAAACACTCTTGTGAGGATGACTCGAAGCCAGACTGGAGCACAAAACTTAAAATCTCCATCTACCATCCCCCTTCTGTTTTGTTCAGAAACTAACAGGGGAATGAGAAAATAGACCAGACAGGATGATGTGTCACAGTCATGTGTTAAAGGGTAGGTATGAGGGGGAAAAGGAAAGGAAGGTATCTTTGATATAATGGAATCACAGAAAATCTTCTCGATTATCCAAAACCTGGTAAAACCATGCTACACTTTTCATCCCTGTAACACTTGTACAGGATACTCCCTTGATAGGGTAACAGAATATGGCAGGTTCACACATTATAAAGAAGAAACTCAGGATCATCATCAATGATGCCTCCAACAGAGAAGATTTATCACAGTGACAGGTCAGGATGGGCTGACAGATTAATTTATACATGGGGATAATTAGCCCTGTGTGTTCTGGGACAGAGAAAACAAAGTCTATTATTTTAATCCATTATAATTTAATTAATTATTTTTAATCTATTATTTTACTCTCCCAGAAAGAAGGAAGTTCCCTCTCTCTCCTTCTGTCTCATCACACCAGGGGAATAGACAATTTAAAAAAATGTGCCTTTGGAAGCCAAGGTTTCTGCAGGCATCATCCCACTCTTATGAAGGCGAGTACAAAACCGCCAGTGCCATCCAATAAAAACGGGGTACAGGGCTGACAGTCAATTCAAACGTATGAAATTTCCAGCACTGCCACCACACTACTTTTATCTCCCAACAATTTAATTTTTACAGTGGTGAGGAAAAAGAACACGGCCTTTTCAAATGGCCTTGTCATTCCGAACTCCCCGAACCTCACCACCTGGTTTGTACGTACAGCACGCAGAAGGCATTTACTGTAACACACTGAAGTTGTTAAAGTAGAATGAGCAAATCTTCCCAATCTGAACGACTGGATAACTGGGGAACATAAAAAAGCATCGTTTAATTATTCTAGAGCATCTTTTCAGGTTGAAAGAAACTTTCTTCGATAGGAAGACGATGCAATAACAAGCAGAGTGCAAAAAAGAACTTGTCTGTTGCTACTACAATTAAGGCAAATGAGATAACATACATAGGAAAGAGGACCTCCGAGTGGAGAAGAGATCAGAATAGACCCTCCAACAGCAGCCCACAGGACCTAAATTTCTATTTAATTCCAATAAACATCCAGCGAAGTCCATTAAAGTTTTGTTCACAAGAGGATTGATTAAAACACCTAAAGAGAACTGATTAAAGGACTTCATGATTTGCTCCTTACTGCGTCAACTTTCCAATAACAAAAAGAGAATGCTTGTGTAAAAATGGCATAGCGTTGTATTTCAAGTACAGACTTTTTGGACTGGGCAAAAGGGGGCTTTCTTTACAATCTCTGAAGGTAAACTGGTCTCGCTGTAGAAGTAGACACGTAATGTATTTTCAGAAGAACCTTGAATAAAGAGTTTTGTTCTTTTCGCGCTCAATGCTCATGGTGAAGAAAGATAATAAACGATAGTGAAGGTTTTTGTATTTAAAACTAAAATTTTATCTTTTGCAGAAATTATACTCTGCTTTTAAAGATGTATTGAAAAACAAAAAAACTTTCCAGGCAATAGCCCATGCGATTTTAAAACCATCAACATGGAAAAATTATTCTGGCACAGCTACTTCAGGAAATCTCCAACTTCAGGGAAGCCTTCAATCAAAAATCCAAGCTACATGCTGATAAAATTTGCTGCTGATTTGAATTCTCTAAGTTACTGCCAAGGGCAGCGCAGATAACTGAACACTAATGGGGTTTTTCAAACACAAGCATCAACCTTAGAATCCTCTGCAGAAAATTTGGCAAGTTCAGTCCTGATCTCTCTAGTCAGTTTGACCCTATAGTCCCCTGTCTCCCACAGACCACCCACTACCTTCTTCCTTAGGTCATTCAGTGCGAAACCATTATATTGATTTATTCCAAGAAACAGTGGGAGTCTGACTGATGCAACGCAGCTTCCACATGGAGGATTTTGGCAAAGAATGGTTAGAGGAGTCAATAAAAGAAAAGGATGTTTATTCCTCCTTTATAATTTATTTGTCCTTCTCTCTTCACTGCTATAATCCTCCTCACACCTTTCTTTCTCCTTTCCCTTTTTCCCTGTATTTACCAGTTTCTCCTCATTATGTTCATTACAACTACCCATTTTTCATTTGGCAGCCACTCTTTCTGGTTATTCTGATGGGTTTTACTTTGCCATCTGAGTATCTTAATAAATATAAAGTTAACACACATAAGATGAAGCTTACTGGAATTTTTAACACTTCTGTTTATCTTACTTAGTTATCACAGTACACGTTAGGCTAAGGTACACATGTCTGCTTCTACTATGACAATACAGTCAAGTAGTCTGTTAACGAACACGTTTCCATGTAAAAGCTAAAGAAATCTAGGTAAAATGATTCAGTAGGAACAGCTCTTTGACTTTCTTTGCTTTTGGATTATTATAATTCTGATTAGCAGAATTTCCAGAGGAACTGGCAGTAATTTTACATCTGAGAAGTTCTTGCAACTCACCATAAATAAACTACGTATCCAATTTTTGCTTCTAACGATAACAAAGATACCTTACTATAACCAGTTTTGAAGGATTTGAGACACGGGCTCCTATACCGACTGAAGTCAGAACTGATTGGAATGTTATTAAAATGTTTATCTTGCAAAATCTACTCTAGGAGTGGTCAAGAAATGATGATACACTGATGATGCATTTACTGATAGAATGAAAGAGTGGAGCAAGGCAGGAAAAGTAATAGAAAGAGCTTCGACACGCTGTTTCATAGTACAATTTCTAAAAACACTCTCACTTCTCAAAAAATAATCCTACAGTGTTCTCAACAAGATCTCGAAGACAGATCATAGCAGAACCCTATCATGGAGCATGGCTGAACGGCTCCCTCTGTATGCTAGACGTGTCACTTAGAACAATTTTACCCTCATTTTAGTCTTGTTTAAAAACAAAAGTCACAGTTTCTCCTTTATCATTCCTCAGGAATCCCACAGATGTGCCCAATGTCTTTAATCTCATTTTCTCCAAACACTGCAAGGAACACAACAACTACCAACAACCTGGTTTAGGTATTTTTACAGACACTGCAGATACTGGTATTTTTGAATACTTAAGTTGACACTGTAAAAGAATCTGTGTCTAACTCTATCCTATATGAATCACTTAAATAATGAAGGAGCAAGAAAAGACAGAGTAGAACAGGTCCCACACATAAAACACCCCCAGACATGGACAAAAAGGATAATCAGGACAATTAAAAAAGATTACAAACCTTGCCTGGTTTTACGACCTTCACACTGAGGCTCTGCTGCCAGGCAACTCTCCTTTGGTGTCCCTTTGTTGTGACAAGTTTTAGGTGAACCTCTACTGTTTCTCCCTGGTTGAATCTGAGAAGCATTGAGGGACAGAGGTCTCTTACTCTGTGTATCAACGGGTTTATTAGGCACCTGCGAGAGGCTGCTAGTCTTCTCTCTATTTGCAGAATTCTGTGGTCCTCGAAACCTGCTTTGTTCCACATTCTGTGTCCCCTTCTGCAGCTTGGCTTCTTTTCTCTTACTTTCCTCTTCACGTTTCCTGCAATTATAGTCAATACCATAAGAACAACAAAGCCAGAATCTTGGGAGCATGTGTCTAACTTGAACACATTCCTCTCTGGAAACCTGACACTGCCACGGTAAAACCTTGACCATAACATCTTTTTTTTTGGTGATAAAGTTGCACTGAAGTGTCTTAGTCGGATCCAAAATAACAACTAATTTGCAGCTACAGGCTGATGAAGGTTAAGCCCTTACCAGCCAGCTGCCCATGCAGTTTGTGCGGTTAAAACACTCCCTTATTGAAAACAATGAAACGTATTTTTTTTAATAAACATACAAAAACTAAAAGCAGAATTTAGAAGGTGTCAGAAGACAAGAAATATGATACTAATAACTACGGTTTTAATTAGTAATGAACAATGCTTTAATATAAGCAGCAATGCAATACACTGTATTTCAAAATCAGAAAACTTTAATAAAAGATGTCATCTCTGCAAATTTTTTTTCATACTTACCTGTGCCATAATTAATGCAGACAATTATAAACCAACTTCAAACTAGCTACTGGTGCAAACGTGCTGCTATATATATTTATCATTGGTAGATAGTAATTTTACATAAACAGATTACACGCTACACAAATAATACTGAAAATATGAGATGTGAATTAAAACCTCGTGCGCACGTAGTAGGTCATTACAATGACAACATTTGGTTTTCAAAACTGAAAGAAGTCACGCCTCTCCTACATAGCGCAGATATAAAAGGGAATTTTGGACAAGGTTAGGAACGGCGCATCTGTTGACTAAAGTTTTGCAGCCTATTTTGAAACATCATCGCACTTTAGCTTTTAAATTCTTCTTCCTACAAAGCAGAACGAACCCGACAGCACGTAGCAAACGTTACGTACCTACCCACCATTGGATTTGTGTTTGTAAATTAAGCACCGGTTGTAAGATGAAGCGACACTTTGCCTGTTGGAACGGACAGGTGGTAAATGTCGCGTCGCGTAGCTGCCTGGTATTTTAACTCGCTTCCAGTGCTACCCCACAGTTGCAGACTGTTGACACATTAGCTCGCAGCACAGCATATGACAGGTTAGTTATGCAGCACGCCATCCTCAGTTCCTGAGAGTCGCATCAATGCCAGTACATGTCATTTCGGTGCGAGCTGCCAGGGAGAAGCCTTAACTTTATCTGTCAGTACTATCTTATCAAGTACGCTCCGCAGAAGCAGCTGATTGAACTTTGTACCTGAAAAGCTGCTAATTGATCTAAAAAATACACTCCTGGCAGCCTGAGGTTCAGTATTCCCTCTGGCATGGAA